GTCGTTGTCCAGGACCATGGCCTGCTCTTCGTCGTCGCCGCCCTCGGGTATTGTCGGCTCGGGCTCGATAAACCGCAGTCCTGTGATCTGATCCTTGTGTCCTCGTAGCTTGTACTGGCCGACTTCGGCGACCAAATCCCAAACGATTACATCTGTATCCTTTGCGCCACTGGCCAGGCGCACTCCGGACTTGTCGAAGGCCAGTTGTGTGATTGCCGACTTGTGTCCATTGAAGCTGACGATGACGGTGGAGATCTTGCTATCCCACAGCCTGATGCTGCCGTCCTCGTAGCCGACGGCATATACGTCGGGGTCGGTCTTACTCTGGGCGATGGCGGTGACTTGGGCCTTGCAGTTCTCGTCCTTCCAGCGGTTGAGGAGCTCGCCCTTCTTGATATCCCAGGTTAGAACCTCATTGTTGGCGGCGACAATGGCCTGGCCGGCGCCGGTGCCAGACTTTTCCTTGGAGGAGGTCCAGACGAGATTCGAGGAGCTGGTTGCGACGACGCCGAAGGACTTGGAGGGCTCGAACTTGCTGTTGGATCCATGTGTATTAGAGATGTCATCAGGCGAGACAACGATTTGGAAAACTTACAGGTATGATTTGACCATATTTGCGACAATTGGACAGCCTAGTACTGGTACAAGATGCTGGTCCAAAATAACATGCGCAAGGTCTCTGAGGATTCAATGTCCACTATCACAATCGTAGTGTCGCCGCTGCAGTTAGTGGGTTGCCGTCCCTGAACTTTTTTTTTGGCGTTGCCCGCCGGCAAGCGATAAGATAAGAACTTGGTTCGTTCCATTCATCAGCCACTGCCTGCCGCCCAGTCGACTACCAGTCTGTCCGCTGTGGCTGGCCCGGCCCCTGTCTGAAAGTGGCCCCCCGGTCCGCCGCATCGTCTCACGGCCTGGACGGGTTCTGCGGGGCAGTTTTCAGGCTTGGCGGCATGTCTCCCGGAGCCAGAGTGGAGCCAAAGTGCTGAAGCCTGGAGCCAGCAACGTCAGCCAGCCAGCCTTCCATGTCGCCCCGAAGCGAGAGGACCTGACCTGTAGCACTGCCCGCCCGTGCTAAGGTGACCGCTCTAACAGCTCCCGTCAGCTACCTACCTATCACGGCCCCACCCCCGACACTTGAACCAACACGCAACTGACCGGACCCGGCTTCAACATCTCGACGGCGCCGGATACCTATATACACTGCACAAGGAATTGCAGGCACCATGTTGCTCCTCGACTACCAGAACGTCCTGATCCAGGCGGTGCTCACCGAGCGTTTCGCTCCTGGGTATGTTTTGACCATGGCGCAGTGCGCACCTGTCCGCCGCCCCTGAACTCTTGCGCTGACGCTACCGACCGCCGTCGTCACCGCGCATTTCCAGAGCTTCCCCCGTCAACATCGACCAGACTGTCTCCGACTTTGACGGCGTCGTCTTCCACATCTCCACCCCCGAATCCAAGACCAAGATCCTCGTCTCCCTCCAAATCCGATGCTTCAAGGACCTTGTTCGCTACGGCGCTGAGCAGGTCCTCAACCGCGAATATGGCGACCTTGTTGTCCCTCCCGAAGCCGGCTATGACTTCTCCATCCAGGTCGACCTCGAGAACCTCCCCGCCGAACAGGAGGCTCGCGATGCCCTCGTCATGAAGATTGCCCTGCTGAAGCGCAATGCCATGGCCGCACCCTTCGAGCAGGCCTACCAGGAACACTACGCCCTGAGGGAGGAAGCTTCCAAGTTTACATCCGAGGAGGCGCCACAGGGTGTCCGGGAGGGTGGAGAGGTCAAGGCTATTCACTACCGAGAAGAGGAGGCTATCTACGTCAAGGCCAGCCACGACCGTGTGACCGTCATATTCAGCACCATCTTTAGGGAAGAAACGGACAGAGTATTCGGCAAGGTCTTTATCCAGGAATTCGTCGATGCCCGGCGCAGAGCCATCCAGAACGCTCCCCAGGTTCTGTTCCGTAACGATCCTCCCCTCGAGCTCCAGAATGTTCCCGGGGTCAAGAATACCGGTACAGGCGAGATTGGTTATGTCACTTTTGGTATGCCGCCCCATACCATGAAGCTGTCTCTAGGCTTGACTAACAGTAGCAGTGTTGTTCCCTCGCCATCTCACTCCCCAGCGGATGCCCGATGTTATTTCCCACATTCAGACCTTCCGTGACTACTTCCATTATCACATCAAGGCCTCCAAGGTAAGTGCATTGGGGGATGTGGTGGGCAGAGATCCCCTTCTGACATGTCGTCCCAGGCTTATATCCACTCGCGTATGCGGAAACGCACCGCCGACTTCCTCCAGGTTCTCCGGAGAGCCAGGCCCGATACCGAAGAAAAGGAGAAGAAGACAGCAAGTGGAAGGACGTTCAAGACTGGCGCTTAAGGAGCTTATTCAGCGGTTTGTGTATCAAGTTGCGGTGCCTTTACTTGAAAATTCCTCATGGCAGCAGTCTATCGGCAAAGGCGGCCGAAGATGACCACTTACAGCTATCCAATACAGACGACAATATTAATCACTATCCTAATCATTCTACTCGGTCTCGGTCTCTCTGGCGGACTTGGTCTTGTGCCTGTTGTATATACTTGGGCTAGACCACAAAGTGGCTACAGGCCCAATGTAAGTGATGATAATAACCCTTAGCTGACTCTATTATTTAATTAGACAGCCCCTACTACCATCCCCCTCAATGCGACCACGGCCTTGACTTATACTTTGGATTCTCCTCCGGCCTCCTCTCCCACGGAAACTCAATCTCCTCCAGATTTAAATACCAACTCGGATCGCCCTCCGTCTGCGTCAAGCTCCACCCATTTCCCAACCACCCCAACCCATTCCTACTTCCACTCCCGCTCTCCGTGTCCTCCACACTCTCATAAACCCAATCCTCCCACCTCGGACTCCTGAACGTCTCAACAGCATGCTGTGTACTCCCCGGCCACAGCGCCACGATCCTATCCCCCACTCCCCCCTGGCTCCGATACCAACTCTTGCATTTATCCAGATGCACGGTATCCTTGAAATACGCATCCACGAACTGCACAAAATCTTTCACCCTTTCAGGCTTGGGCTCCATGGACGCGTAATCCTCCTTTTGCAACTTGCGGATGACTGAAACGACGTAGTCCACCTGCGCCTCCAGGATCCGGTTCAAGCTGCCGAACCCGATGGTCGTGTTGGGCCCGAACAGCATCAGGTAGTTGGGAAACCCGTCGACGGCCACGGCGAGGTAAGATTCCGGGTGTGAAGACCAGCGCGAGGACAGCGTGAGGCCGTTGCGCCCCACGATGGGAAAGGGGGGCGAGGTGCAGGCTTGGAAGCCCGTGGCGAAGACGATCACGTCTGCATCTACTTCTACTTGCTTTTGTTTGTCTTCTGTGGTGGTAGTGGTGGTGGTAGTAGTAAGGGCGATGCCGGTGGCAGTGATGTGCGAGATCGGATCGTGGATCGCTGTCACGTTGGGTTGTTGGAGGGCTTCAAGGTATCCCTTTCCTGGCGTGAGGCGGCGGCAACCCGGTGCAAAAGCGGGGATGATCTTTGCAAGCAGGTCGGGACGCGCCGAGAGCTTGGATTCCATGTCTGCCTTGAAGAAGGCTTGGCCCTGGATGGTCGTCGGGTGGCCGGCCATGGTGGAGTTGTGAAGGGAGGTGCCGAAGTCTTCAAAGGCTTTGCGGAACTTGAGGAGAGCGGAGGGGTCGGACCGGAAGAGGACCTTTTGTTCTTCGGTGACTGTTTGGGTTGTTAGTACACTACTTGGCTGATCGAAGGTATGAACGACGGCGTGGTTTGAATAGGATGGAAACTCACACTCAGTCACTTTAGGATCCAACCTCAGATCTTCCATGGTACTATCCCCAAACGCCGACGAGATCCAGGTCGGCGATCGCATGAAGCACGAAAGCGTCGTTCCTTCGAGTTCCTGAAGCTTGGGAACGATCTGGATGGCACTGGAGCCGTTGCCTACAACAGCGATCTTCTTGTTGCGCAGGTCGTAGCTGTGTATTTTCAGTCAGCACACAGTACCGTTTCCAACTCTGCCTTCAAAATTTAGTGAGACGATTTCCTCACCTCTTATCCCAAGCCCCCGAATGCATCTTCTTTCCCTCAAACTTGTCAATCCCCGCAATATCCGGCCATCTCGGCTCGCTAAGCTGGTCACGGGCTGTGATGAGCACGTGTGCCGAATCGGTGAATATTTCTCCGGTGAGTAGGTTCTTGACTTTGATATGCCTTTTTTTTGGGTCCCAGGTGACTAACTGTCAGCATAAGTAACTAACTAATTATCCAGCTCAGAGGGAGGTAGGATAGTATTCTGGGTATTGAGTAATTGATTGACTAACCATTTCTTCTCCCCATCATGCCACACACACTCCTCCACTTGATGCGACAACTTGATGAACCTCGTCGCTCCGAATCTCTTGGCTACGTCTTGCAGGTATTTCTGGATCTCGTGGCCGGGAGCGTACAGGTTGGACCAGTTCGGGTTGGGCGCGAAGGAGAATTGGTAGGAGTGGGAGGGGATGTCGCAGGCGATGCCTTTTGGTTTGGTTGGATTTGATTAATTGTCAGTTCACCATCATCCGATGTTGGGGGTTTGTTCTGTTCTGCTTTCTTTCTGGGTATGTATCTTGAGGTTCAGTTGTTACATACGTACCTGGATACGTGTTCACCCACCATGTCCCCCCAATTCCTTCGTATTTCTCATAAACCACTAGTTCGACATTTCGTAGTTTCTCTGGTATTCTTCACAATCACAACACATTTATAAAATACTTGTTAGTAGTCTCTTTTTGTGGTGTTGCAAAAGCAAAACTTCATCAACCTGATTGGAAGCAGCGGAGAGGTAGAGGTAGGTAGAGTGAGGAGGTAGTTCTAGCTCACCTAATCGCTGCTCCAATCCCACTATACCCAGCGCCAATGACAACCACCCTCAACGGTCTGAGATTTTCCACCGGTATGTCTTTAAGTGTGAAGTTCGAAAAGGTTTTGGGGCCATCTCCGTTTATGTGCCCCTTCGTGTTCGTAGTTGTCGCCATCTTGACTGAGTGTTATCTACCTGTAGGTAGATACTTGCTGCGATGTGTTGGGTTTGTTGAAGGTTGTACCAGATCAGATCATCAACTTATCAAGGAACAAGAGAAATATGGAAGCAACTAAGGAGGATATCTTCATCTATTCATATATATATATATATATCCCCATAAATATCGTGAGCCCATATTTCTGAATTCCTACCCCTCATCCCGCAAAACCCCCTTTGTCGGACTTGGAACGGTTCGGTACCGGGTTTACTCAACCAAACGTGCCGCACAGCGGCAGCACGTTGGCGGTTGGCCTTGAATCTACGTTACAGTGTTCGGTGCAAGGGTCTCGTATACTTTGGGGTCATAAGAGTGGTCCTTGATGTTGTAATTCCGGGACTGTGGGATATGTATGAATGACACTGCTCTGTGGTCTGTCTGTGTGTAGTAGTTATGTAGTACGACCTAGCCTAGACCCAGTACTCCCTAGTCCCCCTTACTAAACTATTACGGAGATCGATGTTGGGACGTGGAATGAGTGCGGGAGAGGAGGTGGGAGAGGAGGTGGGAGTTATACCTACCTAGTGTACAGTGAAGAAGAGATCATGAGACTAGGCTTGTTGTTGGAGTGTGGGATATCTGCAGGTGCTGATCTAAAGCGGTATACGTGTACATCATAAGGGACAAGAGAGGACTAGACAAATGGAAATGGGAACTTGTAAGCGGCGAGAGTTACTTTGAGAGAGTGACTTGGACGCTCAAAAGAAAGGCATCGTTACACTTCTGTTAGGCAGCGGCGGAATCGTGCGAATGCCGTCCATGCGGATGGAATAGGTAGGGGGGTAATGTTGCGAGTGCGGGGTGAACTATGATACTCCGACCCCGATGAAGAAGGAAAGGGAAGTGATGGTGTAGTTATGTAAACTTTTCGGCAGACTAAATCTCATCAGCCATTGGACGATCAGGATAACATTTCGCGGTACCTGCTTAGAACTCACATCGTGGTAGCTACCTAGGCATTCACCACAAGTCCAATTATCGTGATCATGTAGTAAGTGCGGTCATGCTCTCCTATTATTATCTATACTCTAACAGAGTTGCATAGTCTAAGTTATTCTTCAAAGGAAATCCACCCATCTTCTTTGTTTGCTTTCTTTTTTTTTTTTTCCTTCTTTTTTTTACTCTTTATCCTCCTCTACCCACTGCCAACCCGGAAATCATAGCGGGTTGCGCTACAGAAAAACAGAAACATCAAAGGGTATCAACAAGCCAGCAAGGCTTAGGAAAAACCAAGGACCAAAACAGACGAGCCAGGACCGCACCAAATCAAAACTGGATGAAGTCCTTTTGCTCGGCGAAATCCAAGTCGGGATCGTCGTCCTGGCCAACAAACTCGTCAACCTCGTCTGAGTCGACATCATCGCTATCGACCGATTCATCGTCGCTGGAAAGATCCTCCATCTCAGCGTCGTCGCGGGCATTAGCTCTGCGCAAGACGCTCGCCCTTTCCCTATGCGGTAATTTACAACCCTTGGTATTACACACGCCAGTGTTGCTGAAGTCGGGACATTCGAAAACATGGCGGTCAGTGCAGCTTGCACCCTTCTCGCAGTAGCCGTAGAGTCCAAACTCTCGGCAGACCGGGGCAGCTGGAGACACTTTTGCGTGAGTGAATTTGCAATCAGGTTTAGTGCAACTGTCCTTGATGAAGTGCAAGCAAGTGGGGATGCGTTCAGCGGAGAGTTCGTGCGAGAGATCGCAAGAGTCACCGTTGACGCATTCCCCTTGCTGGAGAAAGTCCTTGCAAACGGCAACCTTGGCCGGGTCGTGGATGTATCGGCACCGGGGGCCTTTGGTGCATGAACCTGCCAGTGTATGTCAGTATCAACATCTTTTGGACTTACCAGACCCAGTCTTTTCGACGTGGTGTCGGTTGAAGTTCCGAAATCTGGAAAATTGGAGTTACCGGTCATGGAGAAGTTGCGGCAAGGCACGTTGACCTTCTTCACAGCGCTGGATTGACTATAACAAGTTAGCGGATGATTCAAAGGGGACCGGGCCACATACCGCTGCGCTTTAACAATGCCATGGCGGTACAAGTTCCCGTTTTTACTGCGGTAGAACTTGACACCGCCTACGATGGCCATTTTCGGGGTCGGCCCCGAGTTGAGATCGCCTGTGAAAGGGTGAGTATTGGGCACAGCCAGCGCTTGCGACGGCGGTCTCGACGCACCGGGAATCTTGACGAGTTTGCTTCCGTTCTTCGTGACGGCAAAACGTATACCCTGCACCGTTAGTTCATACTGGTTAGGCATCGCTGCCGAGCGATTGCCAGCACGGTGTAGATGGTTGATCAACTTGGTCCGTTCCAGATCATCTCTCTGCTGTTGCTTCTGGCGCAGGGTTTGCTCGATGGCACGAGTGCGAGCCTGGGCTTCCTTCTGATAGATGGACGAGTTGATGATTTGACGGTGACGGTCGTTCTTTGCTACCCAGGACGACGTGGACGAGTCCGACGTGGCGCCCGAGCTAGGCTGACCGGCTTTACCTTGTTGAGACGCGCCATTCAACACCAAGGTCCTATGACGGTGGACAGGCTTGGTGAAATGGCCGCGAGTTGGTGGGTATGGGTAGCCTCCTCTTTGATGACGCCAGCTTCCAGAATAACCTGAGTCTTCACGACCGTCAATACCAGCTCGGTTGCTGTTTCGAGACCCGACGGACGTACGATGATGCGGCGGTGCGTGGCTGCTCTGCGGCGGAACAAGGCCTGCTTGTTGGTTTTTGTGCTGGTTGATCTGACCGGCCACACGCGCGATCTTTTCCATCAGCTCCTGATCCTCGGGGGACATTGTCATCTTGCTATCTGTTTGTTCGGATCCAAGAGCCGACACAGATGGTTGCTGTTTTGCGATTCAAATATCAGAAGAGTTTCGAGATATTGCGTAAGAGTTGGATAATAAGGCGATCGTCTTGCGTCGGTTATTCAAAGTGAAGCAAAAGCGACGAATGGTCGCGATGATTGCGGCGGCGCGCAAAAACAGATGATGGATGCAAGGTGGAAGGATTTTGGTTCATTGTCCAACGGAGAACTGCCAGTGATCTGTGAGGGGGGACGCGCCAGAGTGCAGCCAATCAGACGATAGCCAAGATCGCTATCAGAGAAAGAAGGCCCTGGAACAATGCGTCACCAGTCACCACCTTCACTGAAAGAGGTACAAGGGCACTTGTCATCAAAGACCCCACTAGCCGCTTCACTTGCGGGAGAGCGGGTCGCGCTAGGCTCAAGTAGTGGCTTACATAATACTTGAAAAGGTACGTACCTAGGTACGGTCTTTGTCCTGACGTTGACGTTCGCGGCTGCTGTCAACCAAGCAACCTCAACAACAACAACCACGACAATCACGCCCCCAACTTTCGGTCCACGCTGCCACAAGACCCCGATAACCAACGAACGAGCGAGATAATATCTACGTGTACATCGATATCCACTAGATCCGTGACAACGACCAACTTCAAACATGGCCGATCCCATGAGAATCAAGCCTGACCCGGACGCTGCTTTCGCCGAAGACGACCTAGATGAATCAGCCGACTTGGGATTTTACGATCCCAATGATTTCCCTCTGAAAAATGCCTACCTCGCTCGCCTCCCAGGCTATGTCTGGCAAGCATGGGCTTCGCTTCCCGACGATGCGGAAATTCAGATCGGGAATGTCCGTCGCATTGTCCAAGAAGGTCAACCGGAGGTCGGTTCCATCACCTCGCCCTGGACACTATATTGTCTTAAATAGGCTTGCTGACAATGTTTGCACTCTCAGAAGCTCCAAATTCTCCTTGACGACCTTCCGCAGCACAAAGAAATTCCCAAGGAATACAACCTCGACATGGTAGATGCCAACGTCAACAACACATTCGTCTTCGGTGAACACGACCACCCAAGTTATGCTGCCAAGAACAAGGAGCGGGCTGAGGCTTTGGCTCAGGGCATACCGGCACACCTTGTCCGCCAGCAGATGAGGCAGTCAGAACCGCCTCAGGAACGCGCAAAGAAGGGACAGCAGTACACCAAGAAGGCTATTCCGAGTTCGTCATAACCAATTCCTCAGCTGGTCTGTCCGACAGGTGCTAACTTCAGACTCCAGAACAAACGACGATTGTAGCGACCATCAAGCGTGAGGTGGTGGCCACTCCTTTGGAGAATCCGGAGACAGATTATGCGCTCGCAGCTCGAGGCCAGAAGCAGACGGCTCCCAAACATACAGTACAGGTCCTGGATCGTCTGCCGCCCAATGGTATTACGGATCCCAAGGGTTGGGAAACATTCTTGGTGCGTGTTATCGAAGAATTATTACCACTGGAGCTTCCACTAACACCAAACAACAGCGCACGACCGAGGCTCCGAGCAAGGCCAAGAAGATGGACAACAAGACCGCTCGCTGGCCCGAAAACCAGCTTCTCGACGAGCTCGCCAAATGCTTCTCCGTCTATATGTACTGGTCCATCAAGGCACTGCGCTCTCGAATCCCTCAGCCCGAGGCTTTCATCCGAGAGTGCTTGGACAAGATTGCCGTTATTCATCGAGCGGGTACTTTTGCGAACCACTGGTCTCTCAAGCCGGAATATCAGAGTATGATTTCCGACAAGGATCTACCGGCACCAACCAACGAAGCGGCACCCAAACCCGAAATCGCATCCGAGGATGAGGATGATGACGATATCAAGATGGAGGACGTTCTGTTTTAAAACGGCAGGACTAGGCAGGGTCTTGAGGGAGGCCATTTTCCTTGTGGCCCATAACTTGCTTTGCGTCAGGCGTTTTGGGTAGACTGGGTTTGCTGCGTTTTTTCTTTGCTCGCAAGACGAACGGTTTTTAGGACCATGCTCATACAATGATACCCGTTGCATCACTCAACAAGAATCACTTTCCTACTTTGAAATGTTTATTCCTTGCATTTTTTGCTTTCAACGGTTTGCAGCTGTTGGTTATTCAACTGCTTTCATATTCCAAACATTAGCCACAATGTGTGACGATGGTAACAACACCTTGGGCGATTCCCTGTGTCTGATGTCAAACATATTGTCCATAAATGAAGTGGGGCACGCTGTTAATCAGCGCTGTTGTAAATGGTCAGTTACCTATATATTAGGTACACTGGCTGCCTGTACCTTCCTTTGCTCCCTGACTACAGTCCTTCTAACTTCCTCACAACTTGCATCCGCCATTCTTTACAACCACGAAAGCCCCCAAAATTCGCACCTTATCCCAACCAAGCCTCTTTCCTTAATTTCGATGCCCTTCTGGAAAACCGCTCATCAAAGCATAACCCGCAACCTTTTCTCCATCAAAAGAATGGATCGCCTCATAGTCTTCGACTTTGACGGTACCGTCACCCAACAAGACACTATCAACTTTCTCGCTCAACTCCCCATCTACTCTAACCATCTCGGCCGCCTTCGAGAGGAGGCTCGCAAGAAGTGGAGGAACATAGTCGACCTCTACGTCGCCGACCACGCAAAGCACAAGGAGTCATACGTCCCCAAAGCCGAAGACAGAAAAACCTTGGCGGAGGAGCTGGCGTACCTGGAGAGCTTGAGAACGGTCGAAGTGGCGAGTGCGGAGAGGGTAGTCAACTCCAAGTTCTTTGCCTGGTTGACGAGGGAACAATTTGTGGAGCTTGGGAGGCGGGCTAGAGAGAATGGCGAGGATCCAGAATGGGAGGGGGGTGAAGGTGAAGGAGATATTGTAAGAGTGAGGAAGGGGTTCTCGGAGTTTGTGCGACAAGCTAAAGCGCGAGGAGATAAGTTGGGGATAGTGAGCGTGAACTGGTCACAGGCGTTCGTTGAAGGGGTGATTGGGGCAGAAGAAGAAGAAGAAGATGTTGAGGATAGAGATCAGGGTCAGTGTCAGGGTCACAAAAAAGGCTTCTTTGTCAAGAGGGTTAATGAGATTAAGTATCCTGACGGAGAGCTGGAAGGACCGCGGGAGATGGGAGGGAAGGTGATGATGACTGCTAGGGATAAGTTGGAGGCTTTTGAGACGATGTTATTGGATGAGGTTGCGGATGGTGATGGTGATGGGGAGAAGATCAAAGAGAAGCGTGGTAGAGGAAGCGTGTACTTTGGCGATTCGGTGACGGATTTGGAGTGTTTGTTGAGAGCGGATACGGGGATCGTGGTGGTGAATGAGGGCGAGGAGGAGAAGAGCAAGTTGTTGGGCACTTTGCAGAGGTTGGGATTCGAGGTGCCACATGTGTCGGAAGCCCGACAGGGTGCAAAGTTGGCGTGGGCGAGAGATTTTGAGGAGGTTTTGGGGAGTAAGATTTTGGGCTGAGCGCCTCCTGAGAATATGGTGCCTAATTAGTGAATGGGTGAAAGCCATGGAGATGCATGGCCTTGTTCACTCTATGTTCGTTAGAGTATGGTACCAATGACAGACAAGTCGGAATTTCGTTTAGTTAATGTGTTTGAGCCACAGATCCAAGGAAAGTAAATGATACCTCTAAGCTCTCCCCATAAACTCTTGATGTTTGATCAGTAATGGATATTAGGACTTATTACCTGTGTGTTTGTCTCTTTAGTTTCCATTGTTCTCATTTTTCTCACCGGTCAATGACACCACCAATTTTGTGAGCACAAATTCTTTGTTCCACAGCAACATATCACAACTGGTTTTTCTGCTGTCATCCGAACATTATCACTGATTGAAAGCACCGTTAGTTTGTGCTGGAACATTGTACCAAGCTTCTTCATTCCATCAACAAACAAAAGTATATAACAAGCAAGTCATGCCCACGTCCAACACCGCGTGTGTGTGTGTGTATACCAAACATCTTCATCCCTTGGATACATAGATTGTACCAACTGCAGTACTACTCCGCTTTAGGAACCCGTTACACCCGGTTGACCACAAGCAAAGGCCACCTACCAAAACAACAACACGCGCCCAAAAATGTGTATCCACCACCGTCTCATCTACCGCAAATGCGGCCACTCCACCTGGCTAGGCATAACCAAAAAGTGCCAGACAGAGCGCAGCTTTGACCAAGGTAAGACCGACGAGGGGTGCAATGTCATGTGGGCCCATCCGCTTTCTACGTATCGGGTCGACAGGTGTTGCGAGAGCTGTGGCGTCAAAAGAGTGACGACAGATCGGGTTATTGATGAGATTAGAGCGAAAATCCAGTTTACTAGGGAGCTGTTGGCTAAGATCCAGGAGGCTTCTCGAGGTTTGGAACGACGTGTTGAGGAGAGTGAAAAGGGGAGTAGTGATGGTGGGGAAAGTAAACAGTCGTCGTCGGTTAGGTCGGATGAAAGAGGGAAATCGCCTGAGGTGGTGGTAATCGTCGATGACGATGGTGATGGTGATGATGATGATTATGTCGTCAAAGAGGCAGAGATGATGGATCTTATCGATCCTGATGAGGTGATTAAGGTGAGTCAAGCTAACTTTCGAGATATGGTAGCGTTTGCGAGGGAATATGCCTCCGCCTCCATTCTGGGGTGAAACTTCCGATTAGTATCGAATTTTCAAGTTACCATTCAATTATCATCCCCAAATTTCTTCTCGATTCCCTTTCTTCATAGGCATCAACTTGTAATAGACTAGTAGTTAACACATCATGTAGAAAAACGAACAGTTTGTCGGCGGTATCAGCATCGATCTCCAGTCATCTGTGAAACCTCAGCAGACTCCGAGAAGGCGATTGAAGGGTAAGTTGAAGATCAAGATTCCGATTAGCAACTCCTTGCAAAGTCGACATGTCATCGTCGAAGATCATGCTCCCTTACATGCTAGGTAAGCTTCAAGTGACATTCCTCAGCCCAGTCTCTGGGGTCCTGTCAGCGAGCATGCCACTAACAACGGCCCTCAAGTAGTGATAAAGAGGTGGCACGGCCACTCAGCCATGAAGACGGGCTCAGCCAATGTAGCGAATCGCTCTTCTCGGACGAGACAAGTCACGAACTGACCATGAGCGACGTGACCCCATGATCGATCACTTGTCTTCAACAAGATGGCATTCGGTGGTTGGGAACAGAAAAGGAAAGGGTTCCAAGTCAGCTGGAGGGACGGGTCACTCTTGGCGCTGCTGTCAAAAAGAGGAGCCAATCCCCACAGACAAGCAATGATGATGTGAGTGGGGCCGTGCACTGAGTCCCTTAAATCCTCCAGCCCCAACCGGTTCGTCATATCGCATAAAACGCAGGAACGCGCATCGCGACCGACATCACCGCATTGCCCCATTTTCCCCATTCCCCCACCTGGCAGCTCTTGACGATGCCATGGGGTCTGTGGGCATCGCCTACCACAAACAGTGGGAAGGATGAGGGGAAACCATCACCTTCTCATTCAACCAACTCTTCATCAACCACCACAACATCAACAGCAAGCGCCAACAACAGTGACCATGGCATCTTCAACACGTCTACGAATCCCTTTCCCAACTCTCCTCCTCGCCCGGCCGAGCGTGCGCTGCCCGTAGGCTTAACCGACATGCCGCCCATCCCACCCCAACTCAAAAAGAAAACCATCTCTTGGAATGACTCCCTATGGACGCTCATTGACTGGCAGCACTACCAAGAGCCGCGATCGATCGTGCTTTACACCCTTCCGACCATCGGCGCTTTCGCACTCTTCGGAATCTGGCGCTCGTTTCTCCGCCGCTTTCGCGGCACCGCATATATCTCGCCGGGGTTCTTTCGGCGGCGCACGCTGCTAGGCAAGGCGACGAGCGTGGGCGATGGCGATGGATTCCATTTCTTCCACACGCCCGGCGGACGGCTGGCGGGATGGGGCTGGTTGCGCAAGGTGCCGACAGGTAGAAAGGAGTTGAGGGATCGAACGGTTAGTTTAAATCTTCGCGCTGTTTCTGATTGAGGCGCTGTAAATGAGGGCGGCGATAAGTGTTAACTCGTGCGCTTTTACACACATTCAGATCCCAATCCGCATCGCAGGCATTGACGCCCCCGAAGGCGCCCACTTCGGCCGACCCGCGCAACCCTACTCGAAAGAAGCTCTCGAATGGCTCCGAAGCTACATCCTCAATAAGCGCGTATGGGCGCGCATATACCGCAAGGACCAATACGACCGGGTCGTCGCGACCGTCTTCGTCCGAAAACCGCCCTTGTTCCTGCGCAAGGATGTCGGGCTGGAGATGCTCAAGCAGGGGCTGGCGACCACGTACGAAGCGAAGTCGGGCGCGGAGTTTGGTGGCCCCAAGATGGAGCAGGTATATAAGAATGCGGAGGCGGTGGCGAGGAGGAAGGGCAAGGGGATGTGGGCGAATACATTGACGGGCTTCTTTGGCCTGGGGAGTAGGAAGGAGATTGAGAGCCCGAGGCAGTATAAGGATCGGATGAGGGCGGCGGGGAATACTATACTGAAGAAGCCCAAGGCGACGAGCGCTGCGAAGAAGGCCACGGCCGTGAAGATGGAGACGGTGGCTGTTGTGAAGAAGGAAACAGCGGCTGGGAAGAAGGTGAAGACAAAGACGACGGCTGCAGATAGCGCCGCGGCAAAGAAGGTATGATGATGATCCTAGGATATGGATAACGACTGATGATACCCATGAAATGATATATTTGAGAATGGATCTGGTCTCTGATCGTCTAAACTTGTCACTACACTTCGCAATGCATGTGACTAGGGCCTATCCCGTGTAGACGATGCGCAACTGGTATTGAAGACATGCGTAAACCCCTTGTTAAGGAGGTATAAGAGATGGCATATGAAGAGATGGCATATGAAATCTGATCTCCAAACCACATGGCGAGCCAATACCCTCCATGTTTCGTCTCCAAACTTAATTCCACAAACGCGCAGTTACTTTTCGTAGATCCTACGTCAACAATGCGGTGCAAAGGCCGGATGAACGCCCGCAGGCCCCAAAATGTTTCGCATAAGCCTTATGCAACGCACGTCTGTCGATCCCGAACGCAAAGCCTTTTCTAGGGGTTCTTTTCAACGCATGATCGACGCTGGGTGATGTGTTCCCAACGAACAAAGCAACGACGAGTGGGATGAAAAAACCAACGATAGACATTTGTCATAACTTCGAGCATATTGGTACCTGGTAAGGTGGCGGATGAACTGACATGACCGGAGAGACCAACCAGACCCCTAAGTATATCGCCAACTTGTTTTCATTCACACTTGTCCCCAACGATGAAAGCTCCCGCTCAACGGCCCCACGGCGGATGCAATCACGGCCCGCGAAGAGGGCACACAGAGCTGTTGAAAGCTTATACCGTTAAGTCCGGCTCTTTTCAAGCGCCGCCGAGGTCTTGTGTGTGGGGGGGATGGGATCCACCGATGATGCCCGACGGCCGGTCCGCGCGGCGGGGGCCTCGTGGTTTCGCGTGCTTTGTGCAGATGCCCCGCAGGGGCGCCCGGAGGCACGAGGAATTTCGGAAGTCTCGTCAAGCTTTCAAGAAGCCACCTTGTAACCCGATTGTTTCCTCTTGATGAGTTGTCGGTGGTGTTATCCCGAAGCAATTGCCTGAGTGAGATGTACTCATGCGAAGCAACATACTTTACACCGAAACTCGTACCCACGCACCTGCCCGAGACAAGCCACTGCAGTGAATCGTGGGGTTATCGCCGTTCCTGAAAGCGATTAGCGGTAAATGGCTGGAGGACTCTGGGACAGCCCCTGTCGCCATTCTCCCAACTAACCCCAATCGCGCGATGGTCCCTACGCAAGAAACACCGGGTGCCCCTGAGTTGTCCGCTGTGGACTGCTTGGGCTTGGCCGATGGAGCTGAGTGGTGTTGACGCTGGTGAGTGCCGACAAGCTGAGATTTTCACTTCCTCGCGCTTGAAGAAACGAAAAGCAAAACAAACACCGGGGTTCTTGGATGAAGTGGAAAGGGAGCCCACGACACTCATTTCAGCAATCATTGTCTTTTACGATATCCATCATTCTTTTCGCCCTTCAATCGGGCTGTTAGTTCCCTTTATTTCTTTCGCTTTTCCAGTATTTCGGAACATTCTCAAGCAACCACGGGTAGCCGCCCTGCCACTCTTTTTCGTATTGTGTTTGCGCAGTCGTCCCGCCGTTTCCAATCGCTAGAACTCTGAAGAAGGTCCCGGCCACACGGCCCCTGATCGTCGGTTTTAAGGTCGTTCTCTGACAGCAAGCAATTGAAGCCTCGGTCTTGTGATAAAGGAGAGCTCGTTGCGACTGTGATTCATTCACGTCACAGCACAGCGTTCTTGGTTGGTACTCAAAACTCCAAAATCGGCGGAAGTAGACACCAAACAACAGCTTGAAACACTTTTGTCTTCCTTGTGTAGCTTGGGTTGAAGAGAGAGACGTTTTGTGCGACGAAAGAGCATCTTGGGGTTGCACGACGAGCCGCCTGCAAAGCGGAGCAAACACTCATTTAAGTTGTGGAGCACTCCTTAATAAACGACATTGAAGGTCAAGCGCAAGGGAGAACTGGAAGTGGAAGATCAAAGAAATCGCCCCCTGGCCAACCAACCAATCCTTCGGCTCATCGCTTTTATCGATCAGAGGCTCAAAGCTATCAATCATATCGAAAACATCGAGAATACTCGAGGAAGCACAAGTAAAAACGTGCGCCCGGTGATTCGCCACCACGCCGCCGTCGTCCAGAGCTGTCTGAGCGCGCGGGCCATCCCTCACACACGCACCTGGCACTTCGAAAACGCAGGCAAGCACGGCAAGCAACCCTGAGCTCAGAAGTGCAGCAGCCCGGTGCAGGCGCAAGCAATCTGATCCCGAGGGACACGAGTAACATCAAATCAAAACCACATCGACACCAAGGACAAGCCTTTAAAGGTTGTCCTTGGTTCTTGTCCAGGGAGTGACGCATCTTAGCTTGTGCTGCCATTTGGGACACTGGGAGGACATCGAAAAGGCCGAGAACAGGAACAGAAGCAGCATCAGCAGCTTGGTTGCCCAGCCAGGACTAATCTCTTTCAAGGCTGGTTGAAAGTGACGGCATACCCCATCCGACGTTCCATTCGTCGATGCAGCTACGGTTGTGTTTCCCGTTGTAGACAAGCGGACATTGCGCTGACCCAGGTTGCCCAGTCATTTGCAAGAGGGAAGGAGCACAACGAGGGACAGAGACAGGAACAGGAACAGCGCCTGCCGTCTGTGAGAAAGAGGAATTTGCGGTCCGTGCAACGTGCAACGAGAGGCAACGACCGAAACTTGCCCGTTCACGCCAACAGCACCCCCAACCCAACACATACCATAGTACCACAACTTCCACTCATTTTCTTCGACTACCCAGACGGGAGGTCGGGTCACCCTCCATCTCAGCATTCTTGAGCGTCATCACACATTTTCAAGGCGGCACCCGCCCGGCCAGCCATATCAAGGCGAAAATCACAACAAACCTAACCAGGTCCCAAGGTGGTCGCGAAGCCCAACTCTTTGTCGACACCAACAACAGACCTCGTCGCCGTCAGGTCCCGTTTCTCATTCTCTCCTGTCCTTAGCAAACCCGCTTGCTATCGACGACCGGGATACTCCCCCCTAATTCCACTTGATTCTAATTATTATCACCTTCGTTTGAGCCCGTCTAAAAACGGCGCTCGTTTTCAAGATCGTCGTCCCGGACCTGGAGATCTCACCTAATTGACGTCGGCGGCAACTTCCACTACTCAAACCATCACGCGCTCGGTCCCCACCCTATCGCGAACTGTTCAGCTGTTTAGGTACTCACCATCGTGGTTATGGCCTTCCGATCATAGCAACTTTAACCCCGACTACCACGACCAAGAGCAGTATACGTGCTCATCCCTGGTCGGCGACCTTTTTCTCCACCACATAAACTTACTCGGAACCGCGATGCGACTACCTTTCCGCCGGCGCAATGATGCGCGTGGCCAGTCTTTCTCTCCGATATCACTTCTTCTCACCTTAACCTCAGTAGCGCTATCACCCGCCACCGCGATATCGTTTACCCCCGCGCCCGTGACAAACCTTGACCTCAAGGACCTTGGTCGGGTAGCCCTTGCTGGCGACTTTTCCGGCATATCTCTCTTCCAGTTCGAGGAACAGAATGAGCGACCTTTCAAGACAAATGGCAGCCAGTCGCTTATGGCACGCATGCCCAACGGCATTTTCGGCCCCGTTGTCACCACCGATGCGACCATCCTGACCATGTGTAATTTTGTGGAGGACAGTGGGAAATCTGGACTCATCATCGCCGGAAACTTCACGAGCTTGCAACTGCCGACACACGGAAGCGAGAGTCCCACCATTAAGGAGTCCAAAGCGATAGCGCTGTTCGACCCAAACACATCCAAGATCGAGACGCTTTCAGGTCTAGAAGGTCAGGTCTATGCTGTACTATGTGACCGTGACACCAACTCGGTATACGTGGGTGGAAGCTTCGAGGGGGAAACTTCTAGGAATGCGATCGCATGGGTTGGGGGACAGGGATGGACGGAACTGCCATTTAAGGGGTTTAATGGACCTGTCAACTCCATAACGAAGGCATCCAATGGTCATATCATTTGGGGTGGAACTTTCACAGGTCTGGGGAATGCGACTGCGCCGACAGAGCGCGATGGACAAGTCATCAACCTCTCCACCGCCGACATCTCGGCCGGCTCTTCGACAACCAGGGAGGAGTTCAGTGATCCTAAGAACATCGTGTGCAGCACTAGCGGAGCCGATGGAACAGGCAAGACGTGGTTGTTGCAGGAGAACTCACCGGGATTCTGGCAGGCAAAGTTTAGACACGGTTTCCGCCCGACGAAGCTTCGCCTTTACAACACCCACCAGGACGGCGCTGGAACGAAGACATGGCGATTCACTGCGCTCCCCATCAACGGCATCATGAACATGACCTATGTTGACCCAGTCACGAAGAAGAACGCCACTTGCACGAGCGAGTGCCCACTGAGCAACGATAAGGATACCAAGTTCCAGGAATTCCATTTCGTCAACGTCATCGGTATGAACGAATTTCGAATCGATATCTCGGACTATTACGGAAGCGGTGGAGGTTTGAACGGGATCGAGCTCTTTGGAGACGATATTTATTCGTACGCGATCGATGACTTCAACGAGCCTAGCTGCGCAAATCTCGAGTTCAAGTCGTCTTCTACTAAAACAGGCCCTTGGAAGGTTACGCCTTCTCACCAGAGTACCGCCGAATACCTGACTGCCCAGATATCTGCACCCATTACCAATACCTCAGCCAAGATCGTTTTCTCGCCGGACATCAGGGAATCGGGCTTTTACACCGTCAACTTGTATACGCCCGGTTGCATCCAGGATGACACATGTGCGACCAGAGGACAGGTCCAGATTACAGGTCAAATGGTTGCCGACCGTACCAGGGATGACTTCGAAACTCAAGTATTTTACCAGACAAACAACTTCGACAAGTACGATCAGATTTACCGGGGCAACATAGATGCGAGCTCATCAAGCTTCCGACCCCAGGTCACCTTGACACCACTTGCCGGCCAGAACTTGGCCAATATCACTCTTGTCGCCCAAAGCGTCAGTTTCACTTTGATTAACAGTACAGGTGGCCTGAACGGTTTATTTGAATATACGCCTGGCCGGCCAGTGAATGTTAGCGACTTCACGGCCTCAGCTATCAATCGCCTTGGATCGAGCTTCTCTGGTAAATCTGCTGTCAACACTCTCGCCACCTCTGGCGATGCCGTTTTTGTTGGAGGCAACTTCACCTCGCCATCTGTTCAGCACGTCGTTGCCCTGAACACCAAGGACTCGACAAACAAGACATTGGGTGGTGGACTCAACGGCGAGGTTGAATCGATGCTTTTGGAGGGTAACACGCTGTACGTTGGAGGAAGTTTTAACAGCACTTCCGAAAAGTCAGTAGACGGTCTCAACAATGTGGCCGCCTACGATACCGAGAAGAACGCATGGAACACCCTCGGTGCTGGTGTTAACGGCAAGGTCATGCGCGTTGTCGGGTTGACGATGAACATTACCGGGTCTACGCCAGAGTTTGTCGTCAGTGTCAACGGCGACTTTGACGAGTTGAATGCCTTTGACAAGAACCCTGCTGTTTCCGTAACTGGTTTCGGCATCTGGGTGCCTTCGCAGAAGAACTGGGTGCAAAACCTGGATCTCCAGTTGGAGTCGATTGATGGTGTTCTCTCAACGTCCATCCTTGATCGCGCTGGAAACGGTTCCCTTTACGCCGGCTCGTTGATTTCGTCCACGCTGGGTGTTAGGGGCATTGCCGGCTTTGGAGAAAAGCTCACAGGTTTTCCCGTTAAGATCCAAGCCCCCCCGAAGTCGCCCAGCTCCAGTTCGTTGACCAAGCGTGATGGTTCGACAAGTGATAGCAGTCTGCAAGGAGTTGTTACAGGCATCTTTGACAAGGAGAACAAAAGGAATCTTACCATCCTCGGTGGTCATTTCACTGCAACCGGTAGTGGATCTGCGATCAATAACCTCCTTATCATGGACGGCAAAAATAACGACGAAGTCTCTGGTCTTGGTGATGGCATCTCCCAGGATTCCACCGTTATGGCGTTGGCTGTGCATAATGATATCCTGTTTGCCGGTGGCAACATTACCGGCACTGTCAACGGTAACGAGGTAAAGGCATTGGTCACATACAACCTTGCCAGCAAGTCGTTCAACTCTCAACCCCCGTCCCTCAATGGTGGTGAAGTCACTGTCTCTTCCATTGCTGTTCGTGACGGCACAGACGATGTCTACGTTGGAGGATCCTTTACACAGGCGGGCTCTCTCGATTGTCCGGGCGTCTGCTTCTTCAGCACATCTTCGTCGCAATGGCTACAAGCTGGCCAAAACCTCGGAGGAACTGTCAACACCCTCCTGTGGGTCGATAAGAACCTGCTCCTTGCCGGCGGCAACCTCACCATCAACAACACCGCCTCAACCTACCTGGCCACTTACAACTCCAAGACCTTGGTGTGGGACGCTTACCCCGATGCTGGCCAGCTCCCCGGACCAGTTGACGTTCTTACTGCCGGCACCAGCGACAAGAAGCAAATCTGGGTATCAGGAACCGCCTCCAACGGCTCGGTGTATCTCATGAAGTCCGAAAAGGATGATGGATCATCCTGGCATTCCGTTGGCCAAACCTTACAGTCCGGCACTAAGATCCGTGGTCTCCAGATCTTTCACCTCAGCAAGTCTCATGACAAGCACGCTCTCGTCGACGACAAGGAGGCCCTCATGCTCACCGGCCACATCGTCCTGCCTGATTTTGGCTCAGCCTCTGGCGTTCTCTTCGACGGAGCGAACTTCAAGCCATTTGCTCTGACCACCAACTCCGGCAACGCTCCAGGCTCACTTGCCGCCGTCTTTTCCGAGAAGCAGAACTTCTTCGGCAAGGATGGCAAGCACCTGCCACTGGTGTTTGTCGTTCTCATCGGTCTCGGCATCTCGCTGGCCCTCATGCTCCTCATCGTCGTGGCCGGTTTGATCCTCGACAGAATCCGCAAGAAGCGCGAGGGTTACGTGCCTGCCCCGACGTCCATGTATGACCGTGGCAGCGGCATCCAGAGGATACCACCTCATGAGCTGCTGGAGGGGCTAAGTAAAAGTCGATCTGGTGCGCCCCCAGATGTAAACCGACATAGGGGGGCACAGGGTGTGGAGGATAAAATGGGCTTTCGGTAATGGGTTATTAGATGGGTTTGGTTTCGTCAGTCAGAGGAGGAAATACCACGAGTTTCTGCATGGGTTTTTTTTATTAGCATCCTTGTTCATTCTTTTGTCATTGTCAATCATTCAAGCGTTAATATTTCCCTGGGTTCGTTTTGACAAAAGTAAGCAGCGGCAACTGGTAGCGGCAGCGGCAGTGGCATGGCGTTCTCTTTATGTGCACTTTCTCTCACATATTTTCTTTTTGTCTCTTGTTGCTTTATCTCGCCCACAACATGGTTCGAAATTGCTACATCAAAATGATACCTACCTAAGTTGAAAATATGGTTGATGGAAACAAGGCTTGTTCTTCCCAGTGTTCTGGCATCATCGTTCATTTTGATTGGGTGGGTGGTCGTTTGTCAACGGTGATAATGGGGATGGACTTATGGTATAGTAATGGGGACCACATGTATCAAGAGGCAAGTGACAACGCAACTACGGCGAGGTTTTTGGCCGGTTTCCATGTGTGAGATGAGACGAGACACGTATCTCAACGATTCCCTTTCTTCGCTCGTCCTTCACTTCATTTATTTCTGGAAGGCTGCATCTTCAACAACCTCATGAGGAAGGCAGTTCCCTACCTTACTAGCCACACAAACTGTGCGTACCTAGGTGATGGTAATCTTTCATTTCTTTTCAAAGTACATAATGTCTAAGTTTAGTTCGCTTACATCTAGGTCTAGGGGAGTGAGACCTCCTACTTTCACTATCTATCTTTTCCTTTTGTCTCAAACGTTAAAATGTTAAATTGGCGGAGCTAGCTTGTTCGAAATCTTTCTGGCTGGTAGAGATCGAGATTGGACGACGACGACGATTACGTGTCACAGGTTGACATTGGTTATATAGTGTGCATTCCGAGTTCCTTGCAAGAAACTCACCTTCGAGTTTGCCTTGCAAGCAGAACATCGTCTGCCTTGCAAGCAGAACATCGTCTATGTTTATGGGTTTGGCCGTCTGGGCATATGCATCCTAGCCTGTCATAATAGTTCAATTCCAGCCTGTCATATTACGGTTTAGTGGAGGAAGGGGTGAAAGGATTAGACGGAGGAGGTTGGACAAGAGACAACGGATGTGGCATGTGAAGAGGTAAGTATTTAGATAAAATACAATTCTTGGACTTGTCATCCAATCCATAACTACACTAGGTGTCTATCATATACTATCGTGTCCTTTGCGTGCTACGCTTCATTGCATATTAACAGACAGACTTGATGAGGTGGCGGGAAGTTATTATGCTGGGATGTGATACGAAAGACTACATTGACTAAAAGACGGAGATAGGTGGCAAAGTTTTATATATAAGCTTAAGATAGAACCAGCACTTCCAACCAATCATGGCAGCTCCTCAAAACAGCTGCCCGGCTAGCTCAATCGGTAGAGCGTGAGACTCTTAATCTCAAGGTTGTGGGTTCGACCCCCACGTCGGGCTCAATTTTCCCGTCGTAAGACTTTCTTTTTTGCAATTTCTTTCAATAGAGAACTGAGAGTTCATGTTTTCCACTCGTGCGACATTTCTCCTCTTCCTTGTCCAATGTTCATTTTTGCGTTGTTTACATGCAACATGTGCCTTTCATTGGGGCTTTTTTGCAGTATGACGACGCACCGCCGTTGAGCAGCGATGGACAGCTCGGGTGTTGAAACAGATTTTCGCGTACGGCATCATTCAGTTGGAGACACTCCGCGACATTCAAATGAAGAATCGTCGTATTGTTGGCAGGAGGTGCTCATTGACTTCCTCCTTCGTTTGGGCACTTCTAAATCAACTGCAATAAAAGTCGGCGGCGGGGGGTGGAAGAACAAATGTGGAAGGCTCGCAAGCGCATCAAGCCTGATGGACGGAGCTGAGTGAAATTGAGATGGCTCATCCTTCGACGGACCGGCGAAGTAAGGTCTTCCCAAGACCCACGTAGCCCAACTCTTCTTATTGCCGAACAGTGACATTCAGCGACGGATGCTTCGCAATTCGGCGGCCATTTAGAGGGACTGCAACTCAAATATGTGGAGGTGGCTTCGATGAGAGTCTCTGGAGGTACCACTGCTTCCGTCGACGGCAAGGACTTTATGAGCTCCCCGGCCTCTATGTAGTTCAGCCGCCGGCCATTATTTGCCCGGGCAGGCAAGACATGGTGGTCTTTCGATTTCACTATTACCCGCTGCACCACCCGGGCAGAGTCGACCGGAGTTGCTGGTACGTGTAGAGGTACCTGTATTCCAGTTAAGTAGGTACAGCTTATGGAAAGAGCGATCCGAGTCCATGACTGGGAGTTCGCCGGTTCACCACCAGCTCTTGCCGTCGCTGCAGAGCATCGCGACTTCCTCTTCCTCTCCCGCCAGCACCCAGACTAGGTACCTCTACTGCCTCTAGAGGCAGAGGAACTATCGTCACGGATCTGTCAGTTACCAGCTCTCAAAAACGGCAGTGTCTGTGTACAGTCTTTTTCATATCATGTCTGCGGAAGTACTTGGACGAAACAGGACACCAGCAACGGCCATGCTTCTGTGACAGCACCTCTAGCTACCTAACCTAGAGAGATCTTCGAGTTCAAGTTGCATGATGGAGAGAAGTGCGTCGCTGTCTTTCCCGGCCCCAGCATGATCTGTTCCAGTCGTTCTTCAGTACCCTACTCATTACTTAGCAATACAGTGTCGTTGCCACGTGTGAGTGACGGTTTATCGTCCACTATTCCGTAGCCCCTGTCCCCAGCCCTTCGGACAGTTTGCTATACCTATGATTCAGTGGAAGTCACCCATTCTTCAGTACCGAATGAGATACATCTACCTACGATATCGTCAACATCATCAACACTCCTTTTCAACCGGTTAACCGCCACCAAAGTTATGGACTTTGTTGGCTCCATAAGGTACCCAGAGGTATGTTTGCCCACAACTGAGAAGTGGCGGCGCCCGCTTTCAGCCTCTTGATGCTCCCATTTGCTCTTTGGCTTTCCTCCTTCCTCTTTCGGCACTCAGTACGCGATAGGAGAATGCCTCTATTGAGAAGATGTAGTAGGCTCCAGGTAGACGAGTGGCTGGGGTTGAGTGCGAGGTGTGCGATTCAGCAGACGTCGGCAGTCTGTAGAAGTACCAAGGGTAACTGGAATGCCGATAGAGCAGGCTGACGTTGGGCATCTGTCGGTAGAGGTAGGGTAAGTAACGCAGGTAGATAGGTACATGTATGTAGGGTAAATCACCACATATCCAATGCATATGCCATTGCTAGGTATGTAGATAGGTGGAAGTATGTGACAGAGTGTGCAGACACTCTGCTACAGGACAGCGACTACTCGAGGCACCACATCTGAAGCAATGTTGTTGGTGTCTCCACGGGAAACGGTCTGGTGTAAGCAGCCTTGTCTTGATATGGGAAGCTTTACAATTTCGGGACGTGAGTAACTGAGTAGGTCATAGCAAGAACAACCACCACCTCAGTCGTGTGTATCTGTATTGGGCTCCCCCCTCACGGCTCACAGTTGGCTAATTGGATGTGAAGTCATTTACAAAGACTAAAATGCACATTCACAGTCTCACAGTTTCACACCCTTGAAGATTCAAAATTCCTGTTATCATACAGTCTGGAGGTCCGGATGTGTACATCTTACTACATGACCTGGGGCTGCTTCCCCACGTTTATGTTACCGGCTACTCCCGCTGGCAACCATCATGAAATTCCTCATTCATCACCGCATTGACTCTTGCGCTGCCTGTTGCTGAGTGCAAAGACATTTGAAGATGGCCATGGATGGCGATGACGACGATAGGTGGATTACAACACCATCCGTCTGGGCTTCACGATACACCCAGCCAACATGGCCGGTTGGATGATGGAAGAGAGAGACACTGCGGCAGATCGCCGCGATAGAAACCAAGGAAAGAGACAAACTATGTACATACCTACCATACCTGTAGTAAGTGACTTCAATCCACTCACTGCATGCAACAGAACCGCGTTGCAAATCATCATGTATATACACTACTCAACTCTGGAATGTTTGACATCCACTCCGCCCCGTTAACATTCCCACCATTATCACTGCCTGGACTAGATCAAAGCAGCACTGAGCAAGCAAGGCGAGCGAGTAAACTCCGATATTTTGCGAATTTTTATGTAAGTGGTGTACGTGTATGTGTATGTAACATCGGGATATGTTGATCCTGTGGTAAGTCACACGCAGCATCTCACTAACCCAGAAAACTTAACCAAAGACTAAACCCACTCCACAAGAGGACAGAGACTAACAAAGGGGAACTAACCCTTATGCAGTCTAGAGAAACATGCAGGAAAGGGAGCCCCGGCTCGCGGGCGCGCTTGAGCGATGCGCAGGCAGGGCACCACAGGGCGGGAGGCGGCTGGGGTGGGCAATTATCGTATGATTTCGACGTAAGGTTGAGGGGTCCCCCCGCTGTCCCCTTGGTCACCACCTACTCCCCGGGGTCCTCAAGTACCGTACCGTACCGGTAGGGTGGATGCCACAAAAAAGGAGCGAAAAGGAGTGGTTGAACGACGGGCACTGGTCTAACTGGCTGGCTGGCGGGTCGACTGGTCGGGTCCAGTCCGGTTGTTGTGAGTGAGATTGGCGATTTGCCTTTTCCGATTGCATGTGTTGCGCCTGATGAGATGGGACTGGGCATGGCTGACTGACTGGCTGGAGCGAGCTACACTAGTCGGATGGGGCCTAAGTATCGATAGGATCTTCGCCATTTTGTCGTTTTTTACCCGGTACTATGTACAGTTTCCCACCCGCGGCAGCAGCGCCGCCTGGCAGTTTTGAGTTCGTTCAATGTTTCTGCCCTACCGAGCCTATAATTACCAAGTTGGAAGTTAGGTAGTGTACGTGTACACTACGAGGTACACCCCCCCTCTCTCTCCCCGACTCTCCCAAGTCCCAACTGACACTGCCGACCTTTCTTCTTTCACCTCCTCCGGCGTGGTGCTTGTGGTGCAGAGAGAATATCTGAGCCTGAGCCTGTCATAC